TTTGTTCCTTTGCTAAAGAGAATATACGATTATCTAAATGAAGTACCTGCATTTGGTATACGTTTATCCATTTTACAGTTTTTTTACGTAGATTGAATGAATTTAATGTTTGCTCTTCCCATTCTTCAAAGAATGTAAGAAAGTACTAAGAGTCATGGGCTTAATGAGTATTGCATAATTTATTTTCTAGTATGTTATATATTGTATTATATAACATACTAGCTTTTGCCCGCGACTTCGTCCACGTTATCGTCGTTTTTCGTAAAAAAGTAGCATATGTCCTTCCTCAGGGTTCCGAGGTTTTGATGTGACAGACAGATTAACTTTCGTATTTTAGTAGGGAAATATAATACTGTTAAAAATATCGCAATAAGGAACCGCAGAATATTATTATTATCACTGTGCCCCGAGATCATCAGTGTGTATCTCCTTGTATGTTATTATGTTAATGTATTGGTAATATTGTTTAGATCGCTTTCACATGAGTCTTAAGTACATATAGAATGAAAATACTTCAGCGCAAAGCTTCCGGGTAGACTACGTTGAAATTTGACCCGTCCGGAACGTGAACATAAAAAATTCTAGGACTGCTAACCCGGGAAAGACCGACATAACTGACCATGTGAAAAACAACTGACACCGAGATCTACTCCACCAACACGAAAGGTCTGCCCTTGAGCCTTATTTATGTCATTGCATAACACACCGATACTGGGAATTGCGTTCTTTTAAATTGGAATGGAAAATTATTTGGTATTATGGGAATTCTGGGAATAAAGATGGTTTCTCCTGCACCGCAACCTATTAAAATTTGAGCCTCGATTACATTTTGTTGCAACTGGGTTACTTTAAGCCGAGTTCCATTGCAAATTTGTGGTGGTCTTAAATTTCGGAGCAGAATAATCGGAATGCCAATTTTTAAACAAATTTCATGAGAAGGAAGTACGGGCATATTTAAATAATTTAAAAATTCTATCGGGTAATTAGTGGCTTCTTGTTCATCGGCCATTCTATTTATTGAACTATAAACTTTGCTTTCCCCCTGGATATTCGACAGTATTTTATTATTAATCTCAGATGCCTGGTCATTGCGAGGAGTTAAAATGGAGCTTTCGCATAGCCAAGAATTGTTCTTATTTAATATATTTGTTACGTCACCGTAAACTGACGATGTAAGATGTTGTTGGGATTGCACTATACAACATAACTCAGGCGTCAGAATAAGTTTTCCTTGGTGTAGCAGTGGATAGGTATCTTTGGTGAAGGTATTTTCTTTAATAATATATCAGAAAATTCACGATCATCCGGGTTATCTACAGTTCTCACTCGCATGTTTATAGTCAAATGCACCGATTGTATATCACGCCACAAATAAGAGCTTTTCAGGCAAGCCCTAACCTCAGCAGCTCGGGTTCCCCGTGGTATTACCGTAAAGGTTTGTCGGAAATCACCACAAAATAAAACTGTGATACCGCCCATGGGTCGATCATTTTGTCTTATATCTCTTAAAGTTCTGTGTACCACTTCTACTCCTTTTCGATGGGCCATCGTACATTCATCCTATATGATTAAATTACACTTTGAACGAATATTTAAACACTACCAAAACAACTAATACGTGGTCCTAACTTTAGCTACCTTACACTTAAAATCTAAGTGACTATTTAAACTAAAATATTCTTATAGAATTATAACCAGAAATATATACAACTCACAACAAAAAATAAATGAAAATAAAGCTGAAACGCCTGTGCAATACTATCTACCTTTACCTACTTCACTTAAAAATAAATACTTATACATCTTTAATTAATAAAAGTACCTACGCTTAATAATTTTTAATTTGAACGAATATTTAAACACTACCAAAACAACTAATACCTGTTTTACAAAATAACAACAAAATAAATTCAAATAAACTATTTAAAGACTAAAAGTCGCGCTGATAAGCACGGTTTCGGTCTCCCAGGCGGTCCCCCGCTCCCGCAGATGAGAAATCCTCATGGATACCCTACAGCCGGCTGCAAGGTTATGTAGACTCGTACTGACTAAAAAACACCCGTAGGGGCTGCCTCTGGCCGGGAAGGCCTCTAAGGCTTCATCGGAAGCGATCGTCCCCCAGGGGGGGAGCGACGCAGAAAACAGATTTAGACAGCTCGCTCTCGGACCTCCCGCCTTTTGATACCCTACCGCCGCGCCGCCGCGACCCGTGTCGAGCGCAGCAACCGTTACACAAAAATAATCCTTATAGCATGATTCAGTATTCACGTGCGACGGCGCGATGGCTTATTTCATGTATAAGTTTGGTGTTTCTATACCGAGTATTATAAACGTAAGAGTAAACAAATATGATCAGAATGCTCCGAACTGCTAAGCTATCGGGAGTTACACGTGTTATTGTGAGTCAACCATAAAAGATAGACATATGCTGTTGCGGGATATTTTTTAGACAATTTTATGTAGAATATTTCCGTCATACATGATTTCTATGTAACTTTAACCATTAAGGCTGCACACGCGATGGAAGCTTAAAAAATGGAGTAACTTCTCCCGTTTTCCCAACATTTCCCTTCACTACTCTGCTCCTACTGATTGTAGCGTGATAAAAAGTATACTATAACCTGCCCAGGAGTATGAAGAATAATTGTACCAAGTTTCGTTAAAATCCGTCGAGTAGTTTTTGTTTCTATAAGGAACATACACACAGACAGACAGACAAAAAATTTACTGATTGCATTTTTGGCATCAGTATCGATCACTAATCACCCCCTGATAGTTATTTTAAAAATATATTTCATGTACAGAATTGACATCTCTACAGATTTATTATAAGTATAGATTACACGTGTTATTGTGAGTCAACCATAAAAGATAGACATATGCTGTTGCGGGATATTTTCTAGACAATTTTATGTAGAATATTTCCGTCATACATGATTTCTATGTAACTTTAACCATTAAGGCTGCACACGCGACGGAAGCTTAAAAAATAGAGTAACTTCTCCCGTTTTTCCAATATTTCCCTTCACTACTCTGCTCCTATTGATTGTAGCGTGATGACAAGTATACTATAACCTGCCCAGGAGTATGAAGAATAATTGTACCAAGTTTCGTTAAAATCCGTCGAGTAGTTTTTGTTTCTATAAGGAACAAACACACAGACAGACAAAAATTTTACTGATTGCATTTTTGGCATCAGTATCGATCACTAATCATCCCCTGATAGTTATTTTGCAAATATATTTCATGTACAGAATTGACCTCTCTACAGATTTATTATAAGTATAGAATGTATAAGTTCTAGTAAAACTTTTCTTTAGATTTAAACGTCTAGCAGTTTAATGCTTAAAAACATAACTATAATTGCTATTTCTTCTTTCAAATGTTTAATACTTGTAAAAGCATTCATTTGACATTGTGGGTTACCTACAATGCGAAGAGATGGCACTGCCTTGCAGCTTAAGGCTAGGAAAATTTCGACGCAGCCATCAGGGCCGTGGTAGCATAATAGGGAAGATGCATATATAATATTTATGAAAATTTTATGATTAAAATGTTAAAAAAATATAAAAGAAATGCCACTGCAACGTTTTTATTTTACATAATGTTGTTTTTTAACAATTATTACGAATTAAAAATACTTGAAACGGAACGTATTTTAAAACACCAATCAGCGTTTAGTGACGTCACTCCTGTTATGACAACTTCTTTGAAGTTATGGTTGTTAAAGTATTATTTTATGGGAATATTTATTGCGTTTTTTTTTACATTTAATAAAAATGGAAGTTGCGTGTATCAAAGCAGACTCCAGGAATTTACCAAGAGTTAGCGTTGACATGGTTATAATTTTTTTTGTCTAAAGTGCAGAGTTTTTAAGTGTAGATATGAAAGGGACTAAATTACTACGGTATGTATAAATCGTAGTTGTTAAACTTCGTAATTTATTCAGCGGCTTCTACAAATCTTACGACGATAATGCAATCGGCTATGTCCAAATTAAAAGAGATGGAGAATTATGTACAGTAAAAGCTCGAGTTCTCCGGAGCATAAAGTACGTAAAGAAGGTTATCGTGTTACAGTTATTTTAAATGAAACGCAAATCTTGGTTCAGTCCTGCCAATGTGAAGATTGTGCCACACATTTTAAACTTTATCTAATTTTTGACGTCATTCTCCAACTGTAAAATTAAAAATATGTTATAGACAGGTTTTGTAAGTATTAGGTAGGTTACTAATGCGTTTTTACGTACAAGCAGATTAATTAAGCATATAACAAGTATATTCGCCGACTTACGTCAAAGTGATCTTCTCAGCATCGAATAATGGTCTTTGGAGAACAATTGTCATTTCTCTTCGCAGCTTGAAACCACTTTTTTTCAGTTTTGGGTCAGAAGTTCCAGTCAAAAACAATTTATTTGGGAACTTTGTTGAAGTAGATACACGTCAACACGGCTTTTTTTCGGAATATTAGTGGTATTGTTATGATCACATGATGTTGATGGATAGTCCATTTTTAATTTTTCAAAAAAATATTTCGAAAGTCGAAAAAATATGCAAAAGTATGAAAATTTTAAGCCAGCAACGAACAAGTACGACCAGTGAGAGACAGGAGTGACGTCATCGCAACCTTAGGTTCGTTTTCGCGCGAAAATTTAAATTGTCAATTTAAAACCGCATTTTTTCCGATAAATCACAATGTTTTAATTTTTTAATATATCTGTGGTTTATTCTACATGGAATTCTTTAAAATGAAAACAAAAATAAAAATATTGCATCTTCCCTATTGGTCAGTGCATTCGCCTGGATTGCGAAGGGTGCTAGTTTGAATCCAACCAGTACCAGTACAAGTACCAGTTCTTTCCCATCCCTAATACTAGTGTCATTTAAATTTTGAATGTCGGCCGAAATGGAGAAATTCACGGCCATAAAACTTAAATAAAAAAAAGTCAATTAAGGGTTTTTTGGCGGGATTTCATCGAGTGTGGTTGACGTCTTATTTTAATTATTCTTAAATTCGTTCAAAGTGGATATTGTGAAATAAAATTGGTGTGATTTTGTGTTACAACTGTCTGCGTAACTGAAGAATTAGTAGAATCGTCAAAATATACGCTATTCCGGTCAAGTGGACGTGAGAAATTTATTGTAGTATTGTCTACCTCACAGAAGCTTATCGAAAAAGTCATCTCGATACATTTCGTGCCAAACACTTCAAGAAACATCAGAATGCGTCACACCGACATTCCAATGTAAAAAAGGAAAACAGAATAATTTAAGACTAGGCTGTATGGGCATTGTTCCCCTTGCCTTCCCTGAAAAAGGAGAACTTAACCAAAAAAAAAGTCATTTAAATGTCAGTGTCAAAAAAGTGTTGAAAGTCGAACGCACATTCCAATCGCACATGTATTTTTCTAATTTTCCAATATTTTCTGAATAATAAAGGACGAAAATGGCTAAAGATCCTCTCAGTGAAATAGTAGAATTCCTGAAACCCGACGCCAGGTTAGACCTGAAACACATTTCCGTCGAACATTTGGTAGGTTTATCGGCGAGCGAAGATGGAGTCAAAACATTATTGAAAAACGAGCAAGTTATACAGAATGTAATCGAATTGACCGACGACAAAGTCGAAGAGATAGCCAAGAATGCCCTTTTGGTGCTCGTCAACGTGTCGGCGAACGCGAACGGGGCTACAGAGTTACTGAAATATAGACCTACTAAACGCAAAAACGTACTCGACCTATTAGTAAGTTACGTGTTGAATCCTCAGAAGAAAGATGCAGACGCCGCCTGTATGATCCTTTCCAACATCACAAGACTCGAAGACGAATTAGAAGTGTGTCTAGACTCATTCATACCTCATTTGAACGATATTTTAAATGCTTTCGTAAACATAGATTTTAACAAGAAAGGATCGAACCTACATTACCTTGCACCAATGTTTAGCAACCTAAGTTGTAGTTATAGAATAAGGAAATGGCTCACAGAAGAGAATCCACATGTGCCTGTCATTAAATTGTTACCGTTTTGTAATTATGAACAGTCTAACATAAGAAAAGGTGGTGCTATAGGTACCGTAAGGAATTTATCATTTGACATAGAATATCATGATTTTCTATTAAAGAACGACTTAGATTTGTTGACTTATCTCCTCAACCCTTTGATGGGAAATGAAGACTACGCAGACGATGAAATGGATAAGTTACCTATTACTTTACAGTACTTGCCAAAGGAGAAAAAGAGAGAAGTCGATGTTGATATTCGCAAAATGATATTAGAGACACTGAATAAATTATGTACGAAACGCAAAGGTAGGGAAATGTTAAGGGATAACGGTGTTTATTATGTATTAAGGGAATACCACAAATGGGAAAAGGATCCGAAAGCATTGCTCGCTTGTGAAAATGTAGTTGATATACTTATACAGAAAGAGGATGAGGTCGGTGTCGAAGACTTCTCAACTGTAGTAGTACCGGAGGATATGAAAGAAAAATTCACAAAAATGGATGATGAATATTTGAAAGTGGCATAGTTATATAGTATTTTGGACATTATCTCTCACATTTTGTGTAATGATCATATATTTTATGTTTATTATTATAATCTATGTTAACTTTGTGTCTTTCAATCACTATTAAAAGGTTTTATAATAGTCATCTGCAATTATACACGTTAAGCCATTGGTCCCTGCTGCATTGTTAGCACCCACCAATCCACAGTAGGCCCAATATCCCTATTCCATCTTTATGGAAAGTCTGTGCCCCAGCAGTGGGGGCATTAAAAGGCTAATGATGATGATTATAGCAGTCTATCATCTAATAAAATGGCTTTATTAATAGGTAAAAAAAGGATTGTTACAAACAATACTATCTTAAAAATATAATTCATGTCCAAGAGCATTAAATAATACAGCTATACCAAATATTTAAAAGGCCCATGAATCATGTGTTTCAATTTTTTTACCACTCATCATCTCATCATCATCATTTATTTATTTTAAGGACAATCAGTAACATTTTCAATACAATGAGCTAATGAGGAGAATTATATTAAAGTGGAACTACACTGTTTTTAGTTGCCACAGCATGCTTAAAATTAGGTACCTATGAAAAAATTGATGGGGACAGCATACCAAACAACAATTCATCAACACAAACACAAAATTAAAATCAGATAAAAAAAATTAAACTACATACTGAGACATGATTAAATGAGTAATAAAGCAGTTATAAGTTTTTAACAGATTCTAAGCTGAAGAAAGGTTTAAAAATTTTATAAAAAAAAATGATTTATTTCTTTACCATACATTTGGTTACATATATAAAGGTAGGCTCTTTTTTTTAAGTGCAAAGACCCTGTACCAAAAAGAACCACTCTTCCATAGCATATGTTACATGATGGTAAGGTCATTAACTATATTAAGATTAAATCAAGGAACTAAATATAATACAGCGGGAGTTACACCACAGAGCTAGTTAGTGAAATTTTACTAAGAATTTCCATGACCTGACATGGAAATTTACGCTAAAACAAGTTGTGCAACTCACGCTAATCAAAGCACATCTTAATTACATGAAAATACAATTTAAACTAATTAAGCGGGGTGTTTGTGCATGTGTGTGTGTGTTTGTGCATATAAGACATATATATATATATATACATATACACTGTATTTTGTAAGTTTCTTAATACTTATAAAATAAAATTGTTTTTTATTATACATAGATTTATATACCTATATAAAAATCGGTTATTATGTGTTAAATTTTTAATAAATTTTCTGTTTTGTCAAAGTCCAAAGTCTTTAGCCATACTGTCAGCTTGTTTTTGCATTCACGGTAGGTTAGCGGGTAGATACTAAGAATCTTGTTAATGCGATTATAGATGATAGATGAAAGATGTGGATTTTGGTTTCGAGCAAAGTTTGTATTTGTACGATTGATTATAGCTACTCTGTCGTTTCTTCTTTTTTTTATAATATTTGGATCATACGTAATTGAAGTGTGCTTTCCTAAAATAGAATGAAGTATATACAATTTTCTTACAGTAAGTAGGGCCGATAGAGAATAAAGTAAATTTGTTGAAAAATCTCTTTTCTTAAAATACATAAGTTTTATGAGGGCTCTTTGAGCTCGTTCAACCTCTAGAAATTTAGACTTAAGTGCACCTCCCCACACTCTTATGCAGTAAATCTGAACCGATTGAGCAACTGCAACGTATATTTGATTTAAAATGTCTTTTGTGGCTATATGTCGTAGCGTTTTAAAGATCCACATGAGTTTTCGTAGTCTTCCCGCAACCAGGTCCATGTGGGAGTACCACGAGAGTCTCTGGTCCAGCATGACACCAAGATATTTGAAACAAGATACTTTAGTTATAAGTGGGCATTTGCATTTTAAGTATTGGTTTTGATGACATGAGCCACTGTGGATCCTAATTCCATAGCTAGCCAGCGGTTGTGTGCTGTTGTTTATGGAGAAGCACATATAGCAGGTTTTATTTGTATTAAGTGTAAGGAGTTTTTACCTTTATAGATCCAATGCTGTTGTTGTAATTATTGAGTCTGGCTTCTCTTGCCAGTAAACGATACTGTTTGATGATATATGTTTTACTCAAGTTTTTGCCAGTGACTTAATCATCATGGCGTCTCATAAACTGTCTGTGTGTACCTCTTGCAAATACAGGCATGCAAGTATTTTTTAACATTTTTTTTGTATGCCCTACACACTAGATTACGTACCTATTCCTAATATTTCATGTAGGTGTATTTCTGTAGTGTGTATGGGTGCGGCCAGAGTGCACTCAGATTCAGAGTCAGATTCAGATTCTGAAAACAAGCGCGAGAAATAAACAGTGTAGTCGAAGGGTACGGCCAGAGTGCACTCAGATTCAGACACAGATTCAGATTTCGAAAACAAGCGCGAGAAATAAACAGTGTAGTCTAAGCAGGTTGCCTGCTTTTTCTCGCGCTTTGTTTTCTGAGTCTGAATCTGAATCTGAATCAGGAGTGTTTTGTCATAGGATGCGGCCAGATTGCACTCCTGATTCAGATTCAGATTCAGACTCAGAAAACAAAGCGCGAGAAAAAGCAAGCAACCTGCTTAGACTACACTGTTTATTTCTCGCGCTTGTTTTCGAAATCTGAATCTGAGTCTGAATCTGAGTGCACTCTGGCCGCACCCGAAGGGTACGGCCAGATTGCACTCCTGATTCAGATTCAGATTCAGACTCAGAAAACAAAGCGCGAGAAAAAGCAAGCAACCTGCTTAGACTACACTGTTTATTTCTCGCGCTTGTTTTCGAAATCTGAATCTGAGTGCACTCTGGCCGCACCCTATGACAAAACAGCCGCGGACGATCCGACCTAAAAATCTGACTTCCACATGTGTATATTTATTTATTTTCCATACCTACACTCGTCGGCGCGCTACGATTATCAACTTTGGCTTGTGCGTAAACAAAATGTGGCATTTGTACACATCTAGTTGCTTGATTGCAAGGACCATGTCCTTATATACTCATATAAAACATGTCCGGTAATTGTTTATTGCACTTATCTTCTGCCCGTAAATCTTTAAGCTCTTTCGTTATCTTTAAAATATTTTAAGTAATTTTTATACGGTATTCCGGCGTGTTAAGCGAATCCATCGTTTTCTAGGATTCACTTTCAATGAATGTCCGATCGCGGCTGTGAAATATCAACACTGTCTTTCTGCCCACACGATCGTATTTATTTATGTTCTCGTTAGTGAATACTTCTGCGCAGAGTAATAGTACATTATGTATCTAGGGACCTAAGTGCCTAGGACCGATATTCTTTTTGCAAGTAGAGAACGTTTAAAGCACGTTTGGAGTAGAGAGGAACAATTGAAAAAAATAAAGTTTTGTTTCTCAAACGTTCCCCATAGTCCCACGAGGAGAACGTCAGGGAACTTCCCCACTGGGGAACATTTGGAGAACGGAATTTTATTAAACGGGTTGAGATTGACGATATTGCCTTATGAGCTGAAGGCGAAGTTCTGAGATGTAAACGATTGTTTGCATACTACAGATTAAATATAAGGGCTTAATTGTTATGGCTGTAGGGAGGAGCTTTAATAGGCCTATTAAAAACACGGTGAAAACAGCTTCTGATAATTTTTTGTTTATGACTTTATTCAAATAACTTTTTTATCACCGGTCTATAATCGGCTTAAGCTCCGCATAATAGGCCTGATAAGGAAGAACTTATATAGCCTGTAGTGTATAAAATATTTAATGTGACATTAGTAATGGCTCATATATATTCCTTATGGAAATTCATGTGAAAAACCTTTTATTACGGTGGAGTCCATTTGAATTCATAATAACCTCATAAAAGGTCGAGCCTTAAAATTTGACTATCGCCTGTTCCCTTGCTGTCACAGTTTCATAAATAATGAGCTTTAAATCCTAAATAATTGGCAATAAAATGAAAGGACATCGACGAAATCGGCCCTAGCATGCCCAAAAGAATGTCCTTCACTATTATTTTTCTATTATTTTTTTAACTTATTAGCAATTAATCAAAGTAAACGGACAATCTGTTTAAAAAAATAAAAGTTCTGTTACTAGATACTACAGTCTGTTCATTCAACTTGGCACTCCTTTTTATTGAAAATACAGCTATAAAAATCAACTGATAACTGGATTCAACAGGTTTCAGTCTATAATAACGATTTATTTTAATAGTTTATTGGCTTCATTAATATTTTATTATTAAATGGGTGATTCTGTTAAAAAGTTGTGCCAAGATTGTTTACCTTAGTAATGCAATATAGGCGACCATTGGTATTTATCAACATAAAAATAGAACTAGGTACCTTAGTTAATAATACTTATTACTAGTATTTATATTATATTTGTAAAAAGATTATTTCTGAAATTATCTAAAGATAGTTTATACTCCCATCCCATGGAATATCTGTTTATTTTTATGAAAATCATAATGATAACCAGGTACATACCTAATTACCGATAGTAAAATATAGAAACAGGTAAATGGAAAGATTGAACATTTCATTTGAAAAGAAATCTATCATTACCTACTACAGGTAGGTAAAGGTATCATAGGTGCCAACTGACAACACTCATAAATCAATATGAATATAAGCATTTATTATTTTTTTATTAATTGCATTTTATGTTCATTTAATGCATATTATTTAAACACTAAATTTATTCAGAATATATAAAGTGTACATCTTTTACGATTAAGTATAATAATTATAACCTCAAAATCGAATAGATTCTGTAGTAGGCCACGGTTCCTCAAGTTGTCCGTATCTCAACAAATACTTATTTAGAGTTTATGAATGATTCCGAACACAACTAGCATTTTCTCATTGCTGGGTGTTCTAGGGCATTCAATGTATGGGAAACGAGCAATGTCCTTTCTGACAAATTATCTACCGAAACACCCGGCTCTCATCAGGCACTAAAAAAATTAATATCCTTGTAATAAAGTCAAGGTACTCATTTAGAACGTAATTGCATCAAACATCTCATCAAGGTTTGAATGAATTCTATTTAGTAGTTGAAAAACTTTGGATCTATGACAAACTTCTGGAGGTATTAGATGAAAGTGTATGATACAGGCTGACCAAGTTACACGGCCATCTGCTTTTAACGTTCTATAGGGAAATTCTTGTCATAGCTTCGTTTTTAATTCGAAAGTTTCGTAATTATCTAAACTTGTTCCTCTGGCCCATCTAGTCTACACAGTTCTCATATAGATCTTTGCTACCTTTCTAATTACAGAAAAAACTATCAGATCCCCGTGACTTCGTCCGCGTAATGTACATAATTACGTTACATAGTAATAAATTGATCAGATTTTTTTTTAAATAAGTAGTAAGTACATAGTTTAAATAAGCGAATTCAAGATACCTATTGCTGTGTAATAATATTAAAAGAAATGTGATTGTAATTATATAGCTAGCTAGATTGGGAAAGCCTCAGCTACAAACCGAATCAAGTCTGACACTCACCACAGGACGTCTAAGAAATGAATCTTGAGTTTAGTAGCAAAAGCACTTAGCTTTTCCACTTTAGCGTCAGTACAAAGCTTTTTGAATTTCGTGCTAAAACTTTGAGAATCTTTCGCAAAATCAGATTTCCAGGACAAAAATTACATTAAAGAAGTTTCCTCATGATAATTGAATCTGTTAAAAACTCCTTAATATCCGCGCCGTCCGCTCAGAGGGTAGCATCTCCCGGCTGCCAGTAGAGTCCCTCAAGACAGAGTCTGGCAAGACGACGCCATATTGCTCGATTCCTGCCTAAAGTTCCATAAGAACTTAAGGGGCTTTAGTCCTGTCTTACTCTATCTTGCCAGACTCTATCTTAAGAGACTCTAACTGCCAGACACTCGACGCCACCTGAATTTCATGAAACCGAAACTCTGACGCCATGACGCCATTCCCAATAATCACGCAGTTGTGACCGGTCGCGTCTTTTTGCACTCATTCATATTTGTTCATTAAATACTCAGTTTAGTTAGTTTTTTGTATCAAATCGCCCTTTTTGACACTTAGCAAGTGATTGTGCAAGTTTTGTGCTATCAACTATCCTCACTAGGCTAACAACACTCGAAAGGTCATTCAACATCTGTTGCGTGTCATTTCTTTCATGCTTTTTTTATATTGTTTTACTGCGAATTAACATAAAATACTTTTACTGTTAGAGGCACTATTTGACACACTATTTATACATATAGAATTGATAACGAGAAAAGTTAATTTTCTATGAGAATTATTATGGGTACGCCAGGTTGACGCCAGCTAAGAATGTTTAGTTCAATCTTTGGTCCTTTAAGAGTATTGATTATGAAATTTTGTAAAGCCAGGGCACTATTTTTGTGTGTCAATTTTGTTGCTTAAATATATGCCGTTCTTGGGGTCGGCCATGAGTACGCTAGCTTGACGTCATGGTAGCGTACACAGTAAAAATGGTATTTATTTCTTAAATTAAAGAGGCACTATTTTTATTATTTTTACACTAATTTGGCACTAATTATGTACTATTTAATGGCATAACGAAAAACCGTATATTGATCGTGGGTACGCTAGCATCACGGACACTCCCTATTGAATCCATAAGGAAGACCTGTGCCCCAGCAGTAGGGACATTAATAGGCTGCTGATGATGACTTACATTTAAATCAAATAAGACAAAATTGTATTTACCATTTTATATAATTTTATTATTATCTTATAAAAAAGTATTTTATATTTTACCGTCAAACTTAATTACATACATAGCAACTTACAGATCAGTTTAAGTAACAAAATAAACTTAATAACGAACATGTATTTAATACACAGATTTTAACTATAACGGTAACAGAGACAGACTAAAATTTCTAATAAGCAAACAATTTTTCATAAGTCATATCAAATTACATTTTCACTTATCAATTAATTAGAGTTGCGCCGAATATTCGGCTTAACATTCTCATTCGGTAATTGTATTTGAACCGAATATACGGTCGACATGTTTCATTGATGTCTACTAATTGTTATGTGCTTATTTCTGATATCACTTCACTTGGCTATTTATGTTTGCTATTTGTAAACATGTCCACAGTCTGTCCTTTTCATTTCCTATAAAGCTTTTCAAAAAGCAAATATATATAGCCAAAAAGTGCCATTATGAAACTCAATTCGGCGTATCACTAGAAATAATTATAATATCACTGTATAGGATAATGTGAAAAAATAATGCTTGTTTGTGTGTCTGTGTGTTTTACAAAACTATACATGTATCTTATATAATGTACTATATA